GCAATTATGGTTTGATGCTCAAAATAACCCCTGATGTATGACATATTTTCTTTCATCTGTTCGGTTTTATGTTGTTGGGAACTTTAAAAAGATTATGTTTTTTTCATTATATGCTTTCATTTTATTCTTGTTTAAAAAAAATAAATAAATAAAAAAAATAAAAACATGTCGCGCGTAGAGTGGGTTGACACGACTCGTGTGTTAAGGGACACGAGTCGTGTGATGTCACACGACCCGTGTCCCTTGGCACACGAGTCGTGTGACTCATGAGAAAAATGACAAGCCGGCTACAGCTTTCTCACACGACTCGTGTGCCAAGTGACACGAGTCGTGTTAGTGCCACACGACCCGTGTCACTTGGCACATGTGACTCATGAGAACATTGTCGAATTGGCTACAACTTTTCTCACACGACTCGTGTGGCAAGTGACATGGGTCGTGTGTGTGTCACACGACCCGTGTCACTTGCCACACGAGTCGTGTGACTCACGAAAAAAATGTCGAATTAACTACGGCCTTTTCACACAACCCGTGTCACATGGTCACACGAGTCGTGTGACCTCACACGACCCGTGTTACTCTGTCGTGTGATGGGTCGTGTGGACCTGAAAGTATTTCGAAAATTGAATGTTTTTCACACAACTCGTGTCACCGGGTCACACTAGTCGTGTGGGATGAGAAGAATAATGTTTGACAAAAAAAAAACATCATGTTTGACAAAATTCGTCTGATACGCATAATGTTTGACAAAAAAAAAACATCATAACATCATTACACATTTATTTGGAATTGGCGTAATCCAACTTAAGCTTAGCCAATTCATCTGATAACTGCGCAGCCTGCAGAGGATCATGAGCTGTTAAACCCCGTAGAGTCCTCGAGGTAAGAGTCAAAGCACGATCCATCCACTACAAAACAAAAAAATAAGAATAAAAATATGTGCTCATTATTTATTAAAATAAAATTTATTCTAATCAAATATTATTAATTAAAAGCTTGCGAACGTCTTACATAGTCGGTGTTCCCACGCGTAGGGACATCTCTCTCGTCAGGCAGACCCTCACCCAAGACAGTAGGATGAGAAACCCGACGGTAC